ACATACTTAACACTATTGACTCGTATGCCTTTGGGTCCCAACTCAGTGGCCATACATTTGGTGAACATATCAAACCCCGATCTCGCCATACAATAAGCCGACTCTTGAGGACTCTATTCATAAAATAGATATTAATGTAAGCATGGTCAATAGTATAACTATTATACCGGTCGAGTGCTTCTAATGCTGGATATGTTGATTATAGTGCCCCGGGTCTTCTCCAGATGCTCCACACAAATGCTGGTCATAAGTACCATGGCCTCGAGGTTTGTTTGCATAACACTCTTGTATTTAGCCATAAATAATGGGTCATTAATGGGGTTGTGCTCGGGATAGACGGGACAGTTGACCAAAATGTCGATCCGACCGAAAGTGCGAATAGTTTTGTCGACCAGTTTTTGCAGGTCTTCCTCCCGGGTGGGGTCGGCCGCCATTTCCAATACATGAGCGCCAGTATTGCGGCACTCATTGGCTACAGTAGTGAGTCGACTGTCGGCGTACTGTCCGCTCACCACAACACTGGCGCCCGATTTGGCGAACTGTATGGCCGTAGACACAGCCAGACCCGTGTTGGCACCGGTCACCAGGGCTACTTTGCCTTTGAAATCGTATGAAACGGACATTTTAATTAAATTAATGGTAGTGTATAATATTAATGCCTGTTAACAAATGTTTGCCACTAGGAGTGTCGCACTTTTATATATTTATAATGATTTCAATTATGATATCAGCAATATTGTGTGATCCGGGTAAGTCTCATTGTGTCCGTTCATTGTCATCACATCATACAGTATAAGGAAATTAACGGTCAAAAGATGCTCACTGTTTGACACTATGTTTGCAAACGAATAAGAGTCACACATTTCATGTAACTTATTATATGTTACATTGAGATTCACTGAATCAAAGATTGCTATTTATTTAAGACATAAGACAGGGATATCTCTAAATACAAATATATCAATAGTATTAAGTCACACATTCCCTCCAATGTTTATATGTTTATAACCTATTTATTATAGTACGGGTCCAATCGGTCCGTACCCTTGGGATCCAAACACCCCTAACAATCGCTCACTCGAATTGAGTGCCAAAATACCGGCGCAAAGGTTGGCCGTATCGGACGACTTGGCATTCGCTGTGCTATTTCTGGCGTCAAAGGAGGCATCGTTTATAACCGGCACTAATATGTTGGTCGACGGGGGCTATTCAGCTGATGGTCTACCATAAGCTATAACTTCTATAGTTTAATATAAAATCAAGATTAATATCTAGAATAATTAAACAAATACAAGCTTAATTCATGTTATTTTTAGTAGATTTGTAATATTATCAGTATATTCTCAAAATATAATTACTTTTCTAAATAATATAACAAAATAAAATTTTATTTAACAAATTGTCGTGTTTTTGATTAAATTTGTTATGTCATGTCTAGAAATTTTTCTATGTTTCAACTAATTATTACATCACATAAGCACGAGGGTTTTTTATTTTTATAAATATTGATATATTTTGCAGTCCATGATTATTACCGGTTTTACCATGTCTAAATATGTTTATGCTAAATAATTAAAATTCGTTGAATTATTTTCAAGTTATTATATTATATAATAACTTAATTTAAAAGTTTTAAAACACATGTAGATACACGAAGAAAAATATCTGTATTTGAATAATAATTAAATAATTCACTATTGCAACATTCAATTGCGTTACATGATTTTATTATAAACTACACATTGTATAATTTAGATTTCATCATAATTGGTGATAATTAGCATAATAACTGTTAATTTATGATACAATTTAATTTGAAACATTCATTAATGTTAGTCAAATTACATAATAAGGGAAAAACTCAAAACAACTGCACATAAAAATAAAACAATAAAAATATCTATTTAAAAAATCCATAATTTAATAGCTATTAACAGTTATACTTATCTCTTTATACTTAAATCAATACATTTTTAGAAATGTGTGGAAAATGTATTAAATTAAATTTAATAAGAAATAAAACAGTTATATCCCTGTACAATCTCTTAATTTAAGCATTTGAATAATTTAAAAGGTATATAAGCAACATAAGCAGTCCAAACATTTATCCCAATAGACTGTGTCTGAAAAATTTATTTTATAAATATTTTGAAATAATAATGAAAACTATGTCGGACTCCGATATAGTAATCAGTGGAATGAGTGGTCGGTTCCCACTGTCGGACACCACCGATGAGTTCGCGAAGAATCTGTTCGATGGCATCGATGGCATGCCGTTATAAGTGAGGCTGATCATTTTTACAAAAATGGCTTTATGATACCCTACCGGCATGCCGGTATAAAGTGAGGCACATATTTATGAATTGTCATGCATAAGGTTGAGATAAAACGATTCTAGTACTAATTTTACTTATAATTATATATTTTTCTAACATAAACCTATTTATACAACAACAATAAACAGTAAAATGTTAATATTAATAGGAGATTTGGTTAAAATTTATTTTTAATTCATTTATATAACAAAATATTAATAATTTTTAAAATATTAAAAACATATTTTAGACCTCACTTATTACGGCATGCCGTTATACCCCGGGATATAACGGCAGTCTCATCAACCTCACTTTACACAGGCATGCCGGTGGTTGCGCGGGAATACGGTAATTTGCAAATCAATTATTTAATTATGCCACATTAATTTTATTACAGTTGTTTAATACTTAAATAACTTTTCGCTAATAATATTATTTGTAGTGATATCTTATAAAAATTTAATCTAATTTTAATAAAATATTTCTGGTAATGATTTCGCACTAAAATCATGTCCTAACACAATGTTATCATCAAATAGTTTTTTAGAAAATTTTTCCTTAATCCAGTCGAGTCTCACAAACCCATCGTTTTGTATGATTTTAATCGGCAATCCTTTGGCCAAAACACCGGTTATGTAGACGTCCTCAAAGGCAATGGCAGGCAATGTATACAACGCTTTGCAATACAATAACGCAATGCAATCACTGGTCATAATATGGGCGCCCTTTTAAAATATTAAAAACATATTTTAGACCTCACTTATTACGGCATGCCGTTATACCCCGGGATATAACGGCAGTCTCATCAACCTCACTTTACACCGGCATGCCGGTGGTTGCGCGGGAATACGGTACTTATCTCTTTATACATAAATCAATACATTTTTAGAAATGTGTGGAAAATGTATTAAATTAAATTTAATAAGAAATAAAACAGTTATATCCTTGTACAATCTCTTAATTTAAGCATTTGAATAATTTAAAAGGTATATAAGCAACATAAGCAGTCCAAACATTTATCACAATAGACTGTATGTCTGAAAAATTTATTTTATAAATATTTTGAAATAATAATGAAAACTATGTCGGACTCGGATATAGTAATCAGTGGAATGAGTGGTCGGTTCCCACTGTCGGACACCACCGATGAGTTCGCGAAGAATCTGTTCGATGGCATCGATATGGTTACCGATGATGACAGTCGATGGCCAAAAGGTTTGTTATTAATTTATGTTTAAATTTCACAATTTGTTTAATAAATGCTCTTTAATAGTATAATTAATAAACTGTAAAATATATTAGGCTTATATGACATGTCGGACCGAATGGGACGTATTGTCACTTTTGACAGATTTGACGCTCAATTCTTCGGTATGACTGAGAGTACGGCCGAGAGGTTCGGTCCAGAACTCCATATGCTTTTGGAGTCCACTTATGAGGCAATTGTGGACGCCGGTATGCAAACATCATATTTTAGTTATGAAAATTATAAAACAATTAGTTATTTTACTTAAAACATTTTTACAACAAGGTATAAGTCCACAGAATCTGCGAGGCAGTAGGACGGGCGTGTATTGTGGTATTATAAACTATGCCAAATGCGATGGCTATCACGACTACCCACACCCGGACCATACGACCCAAATGAACACTTTGTTGATGGAGTCCATCAACGGCTCCAAGAGTTTCTTCGCCTCCCGGACGGCCTTTATATTTGACTTGAAGGGCCCGGCGATCGTTGTGGACACCGCCTGTTCATCGAGTTTGAGTGCATTGGCTTTGGCTGTCAATGATCTGAAATTAGGTATTTATGTGTCAAATAATAGTATAATATTTAGCATTCAAATCATGTTAAATGCAATTAATTAATTAGCTGTCAATTAATAGTAAAATATCAATCTCTATTACTCTATTAATATTTATAATTTCAAATCAACCCTTTACAAATGAAAGTACTTTACCGCAATCCCTTTAATAGAGGTTCACAGTTATGCTTTTAAAATTTAACTAGATAAAAAATATTTTTAAAAATGTAGATGTTTATGAATGTTATCAGGGCAAATCGATTACGCTATAGTGTGCGGCACTCACATGAACTTAGAGCCGATGACCTATCAGTTACAACAGGAGTTAGGTATGTGTTCCCCGACAGGTGTGTCCGCCGTATTGGACGAGTCGGCCGACGGTTTCGTGAAGGGAGAGGCCGTGTGTTGTGTTCTCCTACAGCGCCGTAAGGGCGCCCATAGGGTCTACGCTAAGGTACTGTCAGCCCGGGTGGGAACGAATGGTAACAAAAAGTTTGGGATATTTCATCCGTCCAGTGAAACACAGGAGGAGTTGATGACCGCATCGTATAAGGAGGCAAATATAGACCCCCTGAACATCACCTATTTTGAGTCACACGGCACCGGCACCAAGGTACGATATAATGTATTTAGTTCAAAATGTAACATGATATTATTTAATATGTACTTAGGTGGGAGACCCGCAAGAAATGAAAGCGATATTACATCACCTATTTTGAGTCACACGGCACCGGCACCAAGGTACGATATAATGTATTTAGTTCAAAATGTAACATGATATTATTTAATATGTACTTAGGTGGGAGACCCGACAGAAATGAAAGCGATATACAATGCTTATTGTCGAGCACCGGGACGTACAAACCCCCTACCGGTGGGCGCCCTCAAGAGCAATATGGGTCACTCGGAGCCGAGTTCAGGTGTGGCCGCTATTATCAAAGTGTTGATCGCATATGAAAATGAATGCATTCCTCCAAATCTGAACTGTAAACAACTTAAACAAGAGTTACTCCAATACTTTCCCCCATTATTGGCAATTAATCAAAAATATCCATACAAACCTGGTTAGTCTTATTATCAGTATTTTGTAAAAACAATTTAACTAATTAAAAGTATTTAATGCGAAAATTTCATAAGTATTTATTAGTTAAACCAAATAATTTTTAGTAGATATAAAAGTAGGTCTAAAATTTTATTCATATTTACTAACTTACTTACTTTTAATTATTAACATTTCTATTTAAAATCTGCTTGCTAGGAATGGCAGGTGTTAATAACTTTGGTTTAGGTGGTGTGAACGCACACGTATTGATTGAACCCAATTATAAGTTGGAAACCAATGATAGCCTAAGAATCGCTGAAATGATTCCCAGAATTGTGAACATTTGCGGCAGAAATGAACATTCGGTTCAATATATGTTTGATTTCATTGAGAATAACCCCAAAAGAGTGACGAAACACTTTTTGGCACTTTTGACACAAACCATGAAATACACACCGAATGTGAATTCATCCGGATTTCCATTCAGAGGTATAAAACTTTAGAAATAAACTTGAGTTTTTAAACTGTAAATAATATCATCCAATAACTGTATATAATAATGGTAACATTATTTTTTTTTGGCATCAAATGTAAATAATGATTTAAGTATTGATTGAATTTTTAATTTTTCTATTATTAATCTTTTAATTAATTTTATGTTATATTTAAGGATCGCTTATAATAAAGAAAGTTTCGGAAGAAAACAATGAAATTAAATACGAATACAAGAAACAGATAGGAGTTATGAAAAGCAAAAGTTTGAGACCTCTTTGGCTACTGTTCCCCGGTTTGGGCGGTCAGTGGCCAGCGATGGCGAAGGCTTTGATGCCAATCAAGACATTCGCCGATAAAGTGGAGGAATGCCATCAAATACTCCAAGAGTTTGGCATTGATTTGAAAAATCTGTTGTTATCTGAAGACAAGACAACGATGTCTACAATGACTGCAAAGTTCTGTTCGACGACTGCTATAGAGATAGCATTGTATGAAGTGATGAAAGCAATAGACATCACAGTGGACGGCATAATCGGCCACTCGTTTGGTGAGATCGCCTGCGCTTACGCTGACGGGTGTCTGTCCACTAGGGATGCGATGATTGTCTCGTACTTCAGGGGAGCCGTCACTGAAAGCGATAAGAATATACCGAAAGGTCTGATGGCAGTCGTGGGTCTGTCCCGGACTGAGGCCAAGAAGTTGTGCCCAAAAGAGGTTTACATCGCGTGTAATAACGCTAAGGATACGGTCGTTATGTCAGGTTATTATCACTTTAATTATAATTCAATTAGAAATTGTATCTAGGTTATTTACATTATAAATTTAATTATTTAAATCTTAGGTCCCATTAATGAAATGAAAGAATTGCTTAAAACACTGGAAGATAAGGCAGTATTCGTGCGACAAATCCCTAGCAATGAAATCCCATACCATTCCCAACACCTGATTAGTAGCGCACAGCCTATGACGGAAGCCATCAAGAAATACATACCAAACCCAATGCTGAGGTCCAGGAAATGGGTGTCCACTTCAGTGATAGGCTCGGACGCGGACACCGAGCACCTGAAGCACGCGTCGGCCGAGTATTTCGTGCATAACCTCATGAATCCAGTGATGTTTTACGACCGATTCCGGGACTTACCCTCCGATGCCATTGTCTTGGAATTAGGTCCGCATTCGGTGTTTCAGAAAGTGGTCACCGAAACGCTGGACAACTCGACGTATATATCGTTATTGAAAAAGGACTCAAACCATACAAATCTGGATCTGTTTTTGTCGGGTTTGGCAAAGCTTTACGAATTAGGTTTCAATCTTGCGATCGATAGGCTATACCCACGAGTGGAGTGGCCGGTGGCCAGGAATACACAGTCTATCGGTTCGCTTCACAAATGGGATCATAGTATGAAATTTGCGCCCAACATATACCCGGATAGGTTTTGCAGGGCTAACGCGTCCGATATGAACGTTATTATCAATTGCTTGGCGAAAGAGGACCTCTTTTATATGGACCACACAGTGGACGGCAATATCATATTCCCCGCGACCGGGTATCTGATGCTGGCCTGGCGTAAGTTGGCCGCCAGTGTGGGCAGAGTGTGGTATAAAGTACCCGTCATATTTGAAAATGTCCAGATCAAACGACCCGTGTTTCTATCAGAGGATAAAAATACCAAGCTTAAAGTCAAGTACTACCCGTTAACCGGTACATTTTAGTTTATTTACAAAAAAGCTAGTATCGTGTTTGTAATGAATTAATTTGTACCCAGATGAGTTCTCCATATACGAGAGCGATAATGTTTGCGTTGTGGGCAAAGTGCGGGCACCGGGCGATGACATACTCATCCACCAGAACAAGCTCTACGAGAACGAGCACCGGCTGTCTTCATGCGAGTATACGTTGGAAAGGGACGACATCTACAAAGAGATGCGAATCCTAGACCTCGATTACGGCAAAGAGTTTCAGCGACTCGTGAAAGTTGGCACAAATAACTTCCGCCAGATTTTTGGCATTAATGAGTGGACCGGAAATTTTGTCACTTATATGGACGCACTCCTACACTCCATGGCCTTTGCCTACCCCTTCCGGAAGCTCATGTTCCCGGTGCTGATACGTACCCTGAGAGTGGACCCTAAGGTGCTGTTTGAGACCATTCAGCGAAACAGATGCCTCGAAAAGAGCTCTTTGGACGAGGAGGTGACCGAACACCAGCAGAATATGGACACCACCGACACTACCGGTGCCGATGTTCACCAAAACGATAGGATTTCCATAACACAGGGCTATGCGATGATTAAGAGTCACGAAAATATGGATGAATACAACGACATGAATACCTCCGCGCGGAAGGAGGCCCAGAGGTTTAAGGAGAGGTTTGCCATATACCCCTCGCACCTACCCTTTTATTTTAATGTCGAGTCTAAGCTACTGGTGGCCAATGGGGTTGAGTTGGACGAAGTGATGGCGTTTCCGGTGCCCCGGCGTTCAGACGCTATGGACCTGGTGTTAGACTCGTATGAGTTTTGTCCCAATGATGATAATCAAGCTATTGATGAGAGTCTCTTGGAAAGTGTGTCCAAGTATTTAGAGGTTTGAGTTGTTTTGTGGATTTTTTGGTAGTATTTTAGTAATTTTTGTTATGATTTTTATGGCGTTTTTATGTTAGGTTTGCAAATATATGGCGTCGAAAGCCACACAAATGGGTTTCAAACAAATGAAATGCGATTTCAATTACCAGTCGGTCAGTGAGGATGTGCTGCAAGAGTACAGAAATGAAAACAATGAAAATCATGTGTTGTTTCGAGTGTTGGATAGAATCTGTACCGATATTAGCGACAAAAATGTGAATATTAATGATAACAAAGAGGTGAACAAAATGTTGGCTGAAATCCATGGCAATCCTGAATACGATTTGAGTGCAGATCTGGTGAATCAGATCCCAAGAAATGAGCGAATGCTGCGAACACTCGTGGATATCGTTTGCGAAAACTTTGTGGACATAAAAGAGTTGAAAATAATGGAAATTAATTTGAGTAATACTTTGTTTGCCAAAGATGTGGATCAGTTGGTCACACACTTCCGGATACTGCCATTCGATGTCGACTATAAGCTGATAGTGAAGTCCAAAGCGGACGTTCCCGATGTGTTTAGAGCCAATGCCACCGAATGGGACGGTAGTACCTGTGATGGGCTGACATTAAAACCTTCAAATTTGGTTATATTGAGAGATACATCAGACTTATGGCAATTGGATTTGGAAAGCCTTATACAGGACTTGTATGACTCCATATACACCAATGGATTCCTATTAACGGTATTCCGGTATAAGTTTACGGAACCAGAGCTCGCATTCATGTCATTGAATGAGAAATTAGTTGAAATCAATTCAAATACACTCGAGAGTCGTGTGAAACAATTGATTTCAATGGCAAATAAAGTGGGATTTAAAATGATTTGCACAAAATGTGACACTATAGGAACGGTAGCTTTTCTCTTCCGTAATGTTTCGCAACAAACGTCTAACAGCCCTGATATGGACGATATCATTAATATTAGCGGTGATTATAAGCAATGGTTTCATGTATTGCAACAAAAGTTAGTGAAATCTAAACAATCTGATGAAAAAAGCGATGATATTTGGCTTATAGCCAATGAGTCCCCAATTAATGGTATCATTGGTTTTACAAATTGTTTGCGATTAGAGTCGGGAGGACAGGCATTTAAATATATCTTCAATTACGATAACGATAAAAATAATAACAATAAGTCGAAAATAGACTTTAATAACAAACCCTATAGCGATATATTAGCCAATAATTTGGTGGCGAATGTTATAAAAGATGGTAAACTCGGGACTTATAGACACATTAAGCTGTCCGCCGATTACGACAAATGTCTGTCAACTGATTATTACTTAAATTCTGGACAATCTCGAGATTTGTCTGGTATTCAGTGGTACGACGCCAGACAGATACCGGCCCTTAAGGAACAGTACGATTTCTATAACAAAAAACTCGCCAAAACTCGCGTTCAAATCTATTGCTCCGGTATTTCATTTCACGACGTTATGGTAATTACTGGTAATTCATAGCAATCATTGATAACTTTTTATGATAAAACTAAAGTTACCATGCCAAAATAGGTCGTATACCCTCTGGTCCGGAGCAGTTATTTTATGACTGCCTAATAGGCTGTGAATACGTGGGCCGCCGAGCGGACACCGGGGAACGGGTGATGGGCATTGAGTTGGGTCGGTGTTACGCCACATCCATCAATGCGGGCACTCATAGTATGACTACCGTTCCCGAGCACTGGTCGATGTTGGAGGCGTCCACTATACTCGGCACTTATAGCACTTTGTATTATGCGCTCATCAAAAGGGCTCATTTGAAACAAGGTTTGTATTGAATGTACAGAATATTCTGTATTCAGACTAATTGTATTCATAATGTGTTTTGCATTCAATAGGCGAAAGTATATTAATTCATTCGGCGGCGGGAGGTGTGGGACAGTCGGCGATAAACATGTGCCGACACTACGGGTGCGATATCTACGTAACGGTCGGCACGAAAGAGAAAAAGGAGTTCCTTATGACAGAGTATAACATACCGGAGAACCATATATTCAACTCCAGAGATATTCTGTTCAAGAATCAGATTATGGAGGCGACGAGAGGTCGGGGCGTCGACATTGTGCTCAACTCCCTGGCCGGTGAGAAACTGGATCTCAGCTACGAGTGTGTGGCCACCAGCGGGAGGTTTGTGGAGATCGGTCGGTACGACATGTTTCAGAACCGGAAGATCGGAATGTTTGACTTCTTGAGGAATATTCAGTTCATCGGAATAGTCATCGATATAGTGCTGATGGAAGACAAGGGCTTCTTCAGTGACTTCTTTGAGTGGTTGCACAACAACTGCACCAATGGTTGTGTGAAACCAATTAATTACACCATATTTGGGGCCAAAGAGGCCGATAAGGCTTTCCGTTATATGACAACCGGTAAACACATCGGGAAAGTACTCATCAAAATAAGGGACGAAGAGAGCACGAGAGGGCCGTTGAGACACATCATACCGGCGCTGCCTCTCAGGGCTACTGTTAAGACGTTTTTCAGTCCAAACAAAGTCTATATAATAACCGGAGGTTTGGGTGGTTTTGGACTCGAGTTGATTCCATGGATGCAATTCTTCGGCGCCAGAAAATTTGTGGTCACTTCCAGGTCTGGGATTAAAACGGATTATCAGAAGTATTTCTACAATAGATTTCAAGAACTGTTTGGAGAAATGAAATATTTTACGACCGATTGGGTCGTATCGACGGCTAATTGTCTGACTCCTGAAGGCTCCCAACAACTGGTAAATGAGGCGAAAGGGTTGGCACCCATTGGAGGGGTATTTCATTTGGCACTTGAATTGAATGATTGCTTATTAGAGAACATGGAGTTTGAAAAGTTCTGTTCAACTGTTGACACAAAACATAAGATATTCTCAAACTTGGNGAAGGCTCCCAACAACTGGTAAATGAGGCGAAAGGGTTGGCACCCATTGGAGGGGTATTTCATTTGGCACTTGAATTGAATGATTGCTTATTAGAGAACATGGAGTTTGAAAAGTTCTGTTCAACTGTTGACACAAAACACAAGATATTCTCAAACTTGGATCAAATCACACGAAGACTTGACTATAAATTGGATTATTTTGTAGTCTTTTCATCGATAGCTTGTGGTAAAGGAAATAGAGGTCAGAGTAACTACTCGTTTGGGAACTCTCTGTGCGAACGGATTTGCGAAGAGAGACGAAGGGATGGTCTACACGGACTGGCCGTACAGTACGGACCCATCGGTGATGTGGGAGTTCTCGAGGGTACGGATCAAGTCATGGGATTGACAACAATGAGAAAACAACGGATCCACTNGATTATTTCGTAGTTTTTTCATCGATAGCTTGTGGTAAAGGAAATGGAGGTCAGAGTAACTACTCGTTTGGGAACTCTCTGTGCGAACGGATTTGTGAAGAGAGACGAAGGGATGGTCTGCACGGACTGGCCGTACAGTACGGACCCATCGGTGATGTGGGAGTGATGTCCGATACGGACAAAGCCCTGGTCTGGTCTACACTGAAGAAACAGCGGATCAACTCGTGTTGCGATGTTTTGGACAAATTGCTGGCTATTAATAAACCGATTGTCACTTCATATGTAAATAATTACAATTAAAAACATTACGAAAATATATTAAATAAATAAATTTATAGATAAAAGTGGACCAAAAGAAAGAGACGGGTAATCGACAGACCCGAATGGTTGGGGAGTTATGGCGGGCACTGGGCATAGACCCGGAGACTACGCCCAACCACCTGACTCTGGGCGAGATAGGGCTGGAGTCGATGTTTGCGGTGGAACTACAGCAGGAAATGGAGAGGGAATGGCAGATAAAAATGAGTATAAATCAGGTGAAGAGTATAACAGTGGGAATGCTGAAGGACTACCAAAACGGGAACGTTGTTACTATTAAAAAGCACCTGGATGACATCAAACTTGCTCGCAAGGGTCTATTAAAACAAAAGTTTATTATTCCTACCGACGCCTACGTCCGGCTCAATGGGGTCACCAGTGGACGGCCTGTATATTTCATGCCTACCCTTGGGTTCAGTTTTTCAATGTTTGAGGAATTGGCTAAAAAGCTCGACCGCCCGGCCATTGGTCTCAATTGGACCCGCGAGTTGAGCCAACTGACCACGCTCAAAGGTGTTAATGAATACTATATAACCCTGCTCAGTGAGCTAGAACCTAATGGCAAGTACGATGTGGTCGGCTATTTCGATACGGCGCTCATATGCGCCAAGTTATTGGCCAAACGTATGGCACATAAGGCGGTGATAATAGACATCATAAACGACATGCGCTTCGCGGATGAAGAGCTCACCGAAGACTTTATGCTGGAGTTTATGGTGACCCTGATGTCGGCCGACATACCCGACACGTTCAAAGAGAAAATGAACAGGGAGATGAAAAAGGAGCCAGATCTAAAAGCAAAGGTTAAACACATGGTTAATGAGATCATGGACTTCGCGGGCACCGGACTGGTAGCCACGGATATGGAGGAGATTTTCCACATTATGTTGGGTCGCATTCGTATGCTATCGGAGTATAGACTGAATAAAAAGCGTAAGTTTGCGGCGAAACTAAAGCTCCGAATCGCCGAGAAATGGGCTAAAATTAGCGGCAAATTGGTGTTCATTAAGCCGTTTAAGTTCGACGACGTCGACGATATCGAGACGTTTGTTGACAGAGCGCGTGAATTGTATTTTTTGCCTGGCTCACACGTATATTAATTGTCTATTCAATGTTTGTTATTAGAAAATTAATTTTATTTTCATAATTAACAGGATGGTTATGATAATATTCACGTTGAAAGCGTAGACACTATTGGTGCAGTTAATAATATGACCATGGAGATTACTGAGAAACTCGAGGCAGCCCTTAAATAAATAATTAAGACTTTTAAACTGGAAGATTTCTACTTGATTCAATATGCTATAACTACAACTATTTTAGACACAATATTGACTATTTCATTATCTATCATGAGTTGCAATTGTATTATGCAATGACAATATTTTATCAGATAAGATCGTATCTAACTTTAATGTTTAAATTTTAACAAGGTTACTCAATAAAATTATATTGAAAAATTGTTATGCATTTGCGAAACATTGTGAAACTGTTAATATTACGCAAAATATGAGCATAAAATAGATTATTTTATAAACAGGATTTATTTTATTCATTATTACAATTGTTACTATACTATGTGCTTAATAACAATAATTAGCTTTTCATAGAATAAACTATTAATAGAAATCCGGTTTATACATTATAATAATAATTGTATTTTACTCTTAAATATATGAAAAATATTTGTTCAATACTGTATTTAAATAATAGTAACATCGGTTAATTATTGTAGTTATACGAAGCTGATAATTAAAAAACATTNGAAATCCGGTTTATACATTATAATAATAATTGTATTTTACTCTTAAATATATGAATAATATTTGTTCAATGTTGTATTTAAATAATAGTAACATCGGTTAATTATTGTAGTTATACGAAGCTGATAATTAAAAAACATTTTGTTTTTAAAATTAAATTGTTTGTTCAGATTTGTTTCGAAATAATAGTACAATAATGGTGTTTACGAACTTTGCATATTTCCAGTTATTGTGAAAATTGATTGCTATTTTGATCTCTTGGTTTATGGTATATAAAGACTAGATAACTTCTGTAAACTTATATACTTTCAATTAATAGTTTAAAAGAGTTTAATTGTAATTAAATACTAATATATATTATTATGGCCTGTATTCAAGTGAAAGTTATTCTTTGTTTCATGTTTTTCACATTAATTGTGTCGTGCATTGAAGCACAATATGGTATGTATTTTGTTTTCACAGTCAGCCTAATACTAATATTTCTTAAATATTTTTTAATTAAAGGTTATGGAAATTATGGCAACCCTTATGGTATGTATGGCCGTGGCTATGGTGGATATGGAGGCTACGGAGGCGGTGGTGGTTATGGAGGATATGGTGGCAATGGTGGATATGGTGGATATGGTGGTTACGGAGGGTATGGTGGTTATGGTTATAGACGAAGACATCATCGATTTAATAGAAGAGGTTGGGATAATGGCTATTACGACTAAATTGATCCATGTCCTAAAATAGACTGCTATTTTGCATAAATGTCCAATCATAACTCAAATAAGTTTTGTGTAAATTCATATCAAACTTTTTTTTGTATAAAACATTTTATTTATTTTAAATTGTTATTACTTAATAATTAATTCATTTGTATTTATAAAATGTTGATTAAAAAACAATTCTGAATATTTCAGATTTCTTAATACTGTAATCAATTAAGAAATTTAGTATTAAATAGAGAATTGTAAACTGGAATATTTCTACTTGATACAATATGCTATAACTACAACTATTTTAAACCCAATATTGACTATTTCATTATCTATCATGAGTTGCAATTTGATTATGCAATGACAAGATTTTATCAGATAAGATCTTATCTAACATTAATGTTTAAATTTCAATAACGTTACTCACTAAAATTATATTGAAAAATTGTTATGCATTTGCGAAACATTGTGAAACTATTAATATTACGCAAAATATGAGCATAAAATAGATTATTTTATAAACAGGATTTATTTTATTCATTATTACAATTGTTACTATACTATGTGCTTAATAACAATAATTAGCTTTTCATAGAATAAACTATTAATAGAAATCCGGTTTATACATTTTTTGTTCAATACTGTATTTAAATAATAGTAACATCGGTTAATTATTGTAGTTATACGGAGCTTGATAATTAAAAAACATTTTGTTTTTAAAATTAAATTGTTTGTTCAGATTTGTTTCGAAATAATAGTACAATAATGGTGTTTACGAACTTTGCATATTTCCAGTTATTGTGAAAATTGATTGTTATTTTGATTTCTCGGCTTATGGTATATAAAGACTAGACAAACTTCTGTAAACTTACATACATTCAATTAAGTTAATAGTTTTAAAAAGTTTAATTGTGATCTAATACTAAAATATTGTATTATGGCCTGTATTCAAGTTAAAGTTATTCTTTGTTTCATGTTTTTATCATTAATTGTGTCGTGCATTGAAGCACAATATGGTATGTATTTTGTTTTCACACTCAGCCTAATACTAATATTTCTTAAATATTTTTGTATTTCTACAATTTCTTAAATATTTTTTAATTAAAGGTTATGGATATAATGGCAATCCTTATGGTATGTATGGTGGATATGGTGGTTATGGAGGCTACGGAGGCTATGGTGGTTATGGAGGATATGGTGGCTATGGTGGCGATGGTGGATATGGTGGTTACGGAGGGTATGGTGGTTATGGTTATAGACGAAGACATCATAGATTTTTACCATTAAATAGAAGAGGTTGGGGTAATGGCTATTACTAATAAATTAATCCATGTCTCAAAATAGACTGCTATTTTGCATACATGTCCAATCATAACTCAAATAATTTTTGTGTAAATTCATATCAATTTTTTGTATAAAAACATTTTGTATATTTATTTTAAATTGTTATTACTTAATAATTAATTCATTTGTTTTATAAAATGTTGATTAAAAAATAAATCTGTATATTTCAGATTTGTTTAATTTACAAAATATTTCTTAATAATAAATTAAGTTTTGTAATGTTAAAAATTTAGAAATAAAAGATTACAAGTTTAAATGATGAAATTGTTTTCAATGTGCTTTATGATATAAATAAATTTAATTAAAATTAACTAAAAATAAATTTAATTAATCCATAATGTAGAAGTTTATACCCGTATTAACTGCAATATTTGATGATATAGCACTTCATATATAGAAACACAAATTTAATATTATTTATGTTATTTGAAACAAACAATGATTTAACAAATTAAAATCTAGTTTCTTTAAGTTATTTGTATATTAAGTAATATAAAAATACACTACTGTTCACATACAATAATGAAATTGAAATAGTTGCCAAAAATGGATTTCATTAATTTAGTGATTTATGCACTTTTCGTATTCATTGCATATTTCATATACGTGTAAATAAAATAGATTTGTGTTTATTTAATCCATAATAAATGTCTATTGTTTTTAAAAGTTATTTTTAAAATTTCAGATATTTGTGGAGTGATAATAATTATTGGGGTAAGCAAGGTATTCGTGGACCTAAACCCATACCAATATTTGGTAGTATTATCCACACATTACTGTCCCCTCATAAAAACCGTGTTATTAATTGGCATAAGAAATATGGAAATATATACGGGTATTCATTATTGTTATTAATTTTACAATTAATTTATATTTTTTAGATGTTGCTCATTTATTCATTTAAGGAGTTATAAAGATTTACTATTTATATATTTAATTTCCAACATCTCAATTTATAAAATATAAACTAAATATTTTTATATAACGAGTATAATTATGAACTAGACTTTGGAATTTACGATTTTTTGACTCCCAATCCCGTCCCACTCCCACCAATTCCCACCAACTCCATGCTTTCATAGCACTATTAAATGTAGTGTTTTGTGAGTTTGCGTATAAATGTGCATTGAGTGGGTCTCATCCAAAGTGGATCCCACTCATTTCCCAGTCCCATTGGGTCCCAGTGCCTTAAGATTCTGTCCCACTCCCACCAAGGTTCGTCCCATCCCGCCCAATCCCAGGTGGAAGTGGGACCCACTATTTTGGGTCCCATTTCCAAAGCCTATTATGAACTTATCTTATTATAATATAGGTAAATAAAAAGGACACAAAAATAGAGCATTACTTTTTACAATTCTTCTTTACATCTCTCTCTCTCTCTCTCTCTCTCTCTCTCAC